GCAGTCGCTATAGTCACCTCCAACACAGTCAGCGTCCACAAGCCAAAAGCAACAACCACACTTACCAAAAGAATCCTCCCATGCAACCAGCGCTGGATCCATCCACATCTATCATCCAGCCAAGATCCCGTCAAAGGCCGCCGACTCCAAACAACCGCCCCCATCAAAGCTGGGGAGCTCTTAATGGTTGATGTTCCGTATGCCGTGGTGCCAGTAGTCGATGATCCCCAGTGCAGCAACAATCTAGTATGCAGTAATCCTTACTGTCGTCAAAAGGTACCTCTTCATGCACCGGCAAGAGTTGGCTGTTTGGATCACTGTCTGCCAGAGGTTGTCTGGTGTAATCGTGATTCATGTTATCAGGCTGGGAAGAGGTTGCATGACTTTGAGTGTGCCTGGTTGAGGAAATACACGCACGCTCTGAGAACTGAGGGCGAGTATTTCTTTAGTGTGTTTTGGATGATTGTGAGGGTTATTGCTGCGCGGTATATCGAACGGCAGCAGATACATTCAACCGGCCTCAATAATGAGAATCAATGCTTCTCGACTGGCTACAAATCCATGCAAGAATTGTGTGACAACAGAAGTCTCTGGCCTGAACAAGAAACAGTGGACTGGAAGGTTCTAGCAGAAAAGTACATCTGCTGTCCTGAATCACCACTACCAGACAAGCTCCCTGTCGTGGAAGTCTTGAATCTGCTCTGCCAGCAAGAATCGAATTGCTTCGGTCTTTATCCCCGCGAGACTGGCCGTATGCATCAGCCTGGCGAGCGTCTCCATCCAGTCGAGCAGTATGCAGCAGCTATCTATCCGTCAGCTTCACTGGCAAATCATTGTTGCTTCCCAAATGTGAGTCATCTATCAGGCATGGAGTATGTAAAATGCTGACTATCTAGATTGTCCGCAAACCAGACGAATACGCCCGCATGATCTTTACGGCAATGCGTGATATTCCAACCGGGGAAGAATGCTGCATCTCCTATTTCGATCTGCGAGAGACGGTCGATTTCAATGACAGACAGCGCTATCTTCGCAATCGATTCTACTTTGGTTGTCTGTGTGACCGGTGTGAGAGGGAGAAGCCTTCAGAACAGGAGATTTGGGAGGCGCTGCCTTTTGATATTGAGTGAGTTTATGTATACACGTCCTTAGATAATAACTTGGTATATTAGATTCTTTCGTAGCTTGGTTTGAGGTAATGCGATAGACTTTACTGATGGGCAGCTGTATATCCAACACGGTGAGAACTTCATAAGTATATGAAAAATATGCATCTTACAGTCCATTCCGTAGTTTATTTGTTTATTCCTTGGCGGTATATGGATGCAACAATGACAGTCAATGCCACTGCTGAAAATGTCATCCATGTGCCTGACGAGATCAAGAAGGAGATTGCGCGGCGCAAGCTCAGCCTCGAACTGTGCATTTCTTGCAATGTTCATGCAAAGATGATTCATGGATGGTTCTTGGCTCACCATTTCGGTTATTGGCCACACGAGGACTATCATATTGCGCTCTGCGTAAGTTATTCTACCTAAGAAGGAGTCTTTTTTCTTTCTGACTCTGGATTTCCATACACCGATGATGTGGGATCTTTTTGGCAGCCCCGTGTCGAACGAGTACCTGTTGGCCCCACAGCATTTCGGCTTGAGTCGTACTGATCTGCTGGACATATGCATTAAGTCTGTAGATGCAAATTTTCCTAGTGAGTACTACAAAGGGAGAATCCAAAGTCTGCTCGAAGCATTTGCTACTCGGTCTCACTCCGCATGAGTGCTTGGTGTTTATCGACTTCTTGAACATCGCTCTTTGTTATTACATGAGGGATATATTTATGATTAACTCTGCTTGTGTCGGTATAATCAATTTAAGCCATGTCTTCATCTCTCCCAAAGCACGTATCTATATTGACCAGTTGATGCTATACCCGATTAGGTACCCGATCTCAGCCTCAAAATACCCGTGGACTACAACTTCCAAGGTTCATTGCTAACCTCAATCCGTTGCCCGCCCTTGTCTTTTCCTTGGGATCTTGGAATTTTCTTAAGTTTTCCAAGGTTATATTTCATGTATGAGTCAGTGGTGGAAGTACCAGATGAATTTGCCGTTCCTATTTAGATCCCCTCCGATCGCATATCATCTCCACATTTCAATTCTCAACATCACTCTCTCAACACCGAAGTACATCCTCTTCCTGCTTCATACGGCGGAACCTTCCCTCACATTGCTCAGTTTCAGACATCATTATGGCAAACGGAGCTCTGCCACAGACTCTCAAGTCTATCACTGCCACGAAAATCAGTGAACTCTCCAAGCAACGCGCCCTATTTGATCAGCGCAAAACCGAAATTCTTGCAGTTGCCAATGCAGCCCCAGATCTGCGCACCCATGCTCAAGCTTTGCTGGATGGGATCTCACGTCTGAAAGGATACCCTAAGGATTCGCTCGACAAAAATGACCTGGACCTAGATGCCGATTCCTCGGATGAAGAATCGGAAGACACACTCACTTCCCGAGGAGTCGGTCGTTTGCAGCCGGAAGATCATACGAACATTCGTCGCTTTCTTTTACAAAGTCGCCACGATCCTTCCGTCTCCCAGGCAGCTCTACAGGATCGTATAACTCAACTTGAAAAGGAGTTGCGGTATCTTGAGATAAAGCACGAGCACGGTGCCTTCTACAGCAAGTTGGTTACAGAGTGGTTGTCGGAGTTGGATGGAAGCATTACTTCCACTGCGGATGAAACTAAATGCAATGACTCGGATCCAAGCTTCGAAAACGTTGGGCGGGCAGAAATGCACGAGCAACGCGCGACTTGGGAATCCTTGGTTTTCACTGCTGCGACTCATGTCAATGAAGATACAATCCGGTCCTACCTGAACGATCTTTTCACCCAGACCAAACTTTCTCAACAGGCACTCAAGGATCTCCGAGCAAGTATCCAATCGTTTGGAACAGAACTATCATCAAAAGGTGAATGGCTGGATGTAGACGAACTTCAGTGGGTCTCTCGCGCACTGCTCAAGACCGATCTCCTCGGCGATGAAAAGACAGCCATTCTGAAAGAGTTCATGCGGAACAACGAGGTTGCACAAGAGGTCGCGGATGTGCTCAACATGCGCATTGCCTCGCTCGATAGCTGGGCGTGGACCGAGAACTCAGATGGTATCCCTGTTGAAATGCGCCGCCAACTCAATGGTAAATACCGGGTTTTCATGGACGAGGACCTTCTCGATGCCCTTCTGCTACAGTACATCGGGACAAAGTGGGCTGTAAAGCTGCGCAAGGTATTTGAGACATTTCTACATTCCAATGCCTGGAAAGTCCTGCATGAGGATATCCCAGAAGACCACAAGGATATGCGCAGGTACTTCCTTGGCCGAGAAGCCAACTCGAACTCTGGCAAGATCAATGAGATTCGAAAGAAAACATACACCGACGAATATTTCATGAGCCAATTGCCCACTTCAACCGCCGAAGGCGCACGGGAATATGATGATACGGGGTCCAAACAAAAGAATGCCCTGGATACAAAGCACTCCCTTCTCCATCTCCTGATCACAGAATCTATCCTCCACAAACATCAGCGCGGGGACTTTACCGCAATCCGGTCGGACTTTGAGTGGTTTGGCCCCTCAATGCCCCATGCCACCATACTCACCGTGCTGAAGTTCTTTGGAGTCTCTGACCTATGGATCAAATTCTTCCTAGTGTTCCTGGAGGCTCCGCTCAAGTTTCCCCAAGATGGAGCCGAAGGCTCTGTTCGAACCCGCAAGCGTGGCCTTCCAATGAGTCATACATTGGGTGATTGCTTCGGAGAATCCGTTCTCTTCTGTATGGACTACGCAGTCAATCAAGCTACCGATGGCGCTTTCCTGTACCGGCTCCATGATGACTTTTGGTTCTGGGGTGCAGAGAATACTTGCGTCAAGGCATGGCAGGCAATGGAGCGATTTACTCAGGTAATGGGTTTGAAGTTCAACGCGGAGAAGACTGGAACTGTGCAGATGGGGCTGGGTGACGGTCCGACGGAGTCGGCTCTTCCCACCGGTGGTATCCGCTGGGGGTTCTTGGTTCTGGATGCGCAGCAAGAAAGATTCATTATCGATCAGGCCCAGGTCGATCAACACATCGAAGAGCTTGCCCGACAGCTTTTGTCCTGCAAAAGTGTGTTCGCTTGGGTACAGGCATGGAACAGCTACTTTGGCCGATTCTTTACGAACAACTTTGCAAAACCAGCCATTTGCTTCGGTCGGGACCATATCGACATGGCCATTTCCACCCTGAGCCGCATCGAGCGCACACTCTTCAACAAACCCTCAGATAATAAAACACCATCGGATCAGATCAATGGTGTCACCGACTACTTACGCACTGTGATTGCAGGTCGCTTCGATATCCATGATCTGCCCGATGGATTCTTCTATTATCCCATTGAACTCGGTGGACTGGGGCTTCTAAATCCCTTCATCAGACTGCTCGCCATGCGCGAAAACATCAAACAGACCCCCCGGAAGCTCCTACGCAAGGCCTCGCTGAGGGATGAGAAAGAGTACGAGGCTGCCAAAGAGAAGTTCAAAAAGGATGGCGCGGATGTTAGCGGCCAATTTTGGAGCGAATGGGGCGGAAAATCCAAGTCATTTATGTCCCTGGAAGACTACACCCGGTACCCGGAAACATTCAGTCTCTCTCTTGTGGACGTGTACACGCAGCTGACCGAGGTGCCGAGTGAGATGAGCGTGGCTCGGACTTGGAGCTTTGAAAGGGAGCAAAACTCCCTTGATCAAAGCTCCTCTGTAGGCTGTATCTCTCCTTTCTGGGGGACAATGACGCCCTACTGGCAATGGGTGGCGGAGTTATATCATGAAGGGATGGTTCGTACTTACGGCAGCCTGGCTGCTGTGAATCGTGAGTTTATGCCCTTGGGTGTCTTGAAGACCCTGCAGGAGGGTAAATTCAGATGGCAGGGCTGACCGAAGAACGTGAATTGAATTGCCTGATGGTCCTGTGGCTTCAGGGCGTATCAATTTGGATGAAGAACAGCTAATTTATTTCCGATATGACAGGTCAATTCTTAAATAATCCTTGTCAAGTCCGTACTCTCCATCTTCATACGTAGCCCTAGAAGAGCTCATATATGGGCTTAATCCAAATACCGACGATGGCCACATCACACCCTCAAAGGAAGATGATGCTAATATCCTGGTCACTAGGCATGACTTTGGCGGGCGGATCAACGCCTTGCATTTTCAGCCAGCAGTGATTGTTCATAAAATCAAGAGCGTTACACTGAGTTTCTTGCACACAGCTGTCGAAGCATTCTTGATAAGAAGACACGTCAAACTCTCTCAGAGTGGTGGTAGCGACATCTGACCAAAATAGTTAATATGAAGGCATGCCATTGTCTGGAATTTTCAAGACATACGAAGGCCGCAGAACTGCTTATATGTCCGGCCATTACATTGAAAAACTTTTGCATGAGCAGATGGACCTAAGGAATAATATTAGAATCCCTGACTGATCGGATACCCAAGAACACTTTTCAGCACAATCTTACACTTTGGGTTACACTCAACAGGATTTTCAGGCTCAGGCTCTTTGAAGCAACAACAGCCACGACCGAGCCTGCCTCTAGATCCTGAGCCTTGGCAAAGGCGAGCACCAGCGACCCCGGATCCCCGTCCTACCAGTCCATGAGCTTGTGCCGAGAGGACTTCGGTCAGGAGCTGAGCACACAGGAGTAAATTGAAAAGATTGATCATTGTGGGTGAGAAGGATACAGAAAATGGAAGAGCGGGAATTGATTTAAATTACCTCTCTTGCAAGGTTAGATGAAAGCCTGAGCTAGGATAATTGGAAGCATTGCGGAGGAGATTGCCATGTCGGTAAGCTAGCATAACTATTGATTTGATGCATATGCAGTGTGACTGAATCCTGCATAGTTGTGAGCTTCCAACGAGTAAAGCTGCATGCATTCATCATGAGTTTTGGCTTCAGGATTGGTGGCGGAGTGTCTACACCTGTTTGATATTGGTTACATTTGACCCAGAAGGGGTTGACAACATGAACGGTCTGGTTATCACATTGATAAGAATGTAAATAATTTTCCTAACTTGCAAGGCAAGACGATTCCAGGCCTCCCCATGATCCTCTTCCTACGTAGCATTTATTTTTGCGTTCAAGGGACTCTGAGGCGACAGTAGAATACCCATTGGGGAGGATATGCATGCATTCGGTCTATTGGAATATGACAGGATCATGATAAACGTGGCGTCCAATTAAAAGTTTATTATGCTTTGCGATACTTGGAAATTTAGGTCACACAGCGTCAACGCAAAGGGCTACAGTGTGATTCCTCAATGCCCAGCATTTATGTAGAGTATGCGAATATCTGCCAATTTGACTGACGTGTCGGTCTCAGTGACCTTGCATAGTCGAACGAAGTGGATTATCAAAAGCCACCGAGTCTCATATTACGTATCATCAAGCAATCAGCCTGTTGATAACTGCACTTTTGAAAGAACGCTAATGCGGTTACCTGTACGATCTGGCTTCAGCTATAGCGCGAACGATGTGGAGCTGCGAGATGGAGCTGCGAGACGTGGGGGATTATTGAGAATCAAAGTGATCGACATGCGAAATTGGTTTCAGCCAAGTAGTCAAAGAGTCGAGGTTGACAAATATAAATATATCCTTCAAACAGAGATTTTCTGGGTTTGAGGAACCTGAAGACAATATGGGGCTTCTAAAGTTGTCCACAAGCGCAGTTGTTCTCCTCAACCTGTACTTTGCCCAGTGCATTGATGCTAGAACTTGTGATGGCACACAGGGAATAACGCTGAAAAGCAACCCGGTAGTCATCAAGGATTCCCCCCAATGTCCTGAAAGTGAATGGTGCCGCTTCTGTGAATTCAAATGGCTAGCTTATCTGACATCTTTCAGACGATGGCGATATTATCGAGACCAGTGATGGTGGCTTCTACAACTTTCAGTGTTGTATGCACCAGTACAGCGGATCGAACTTCCTCAAGAATGTTCAGACGACGGGGTACGATGACTGCATCAACCAATGCACTTTGACAGACAATTGCCAAGCGTAAGTACTTCACACCCTGGAAATATATATATTCTGATAATTGTTCCCGAGCAGGTTCCGCTACGTCTTCGGTGACTACAACGATGAGAAGGCTGGGGATTGTAAACTTTATGGAAGTGGCACTTTCTCAGACGCAAAGTGCCAAAACACACTACACGACTGGGCCTACCTAACCGATCCTCCGGTGATCGAGGTCGAGGAGAACGTGCGAGCAGCATGTTCGACTGAGTGCCCAGATGCAGATGGTCAAATCTACACCGCCAAAAACAGACAGGTGAAGCTTTTTCGGGTCCTTCACCGTACAGAGTTGAATAATCATTGACAATAAATTAGGTGTTCCACTTGGATTGCCAAAAGCGCCATGGGACGGCTTGGTTCCACAAGCTGGATACCAACTCCCTAAAGGAATGCACGGAGTCCTGCGCCTCGTTCATCGGATGCCAGAGTGTCGATTACCACAAGCGTACCAAGAAGTGCTACCTCGGCAAGCGTACCTCAAAGCCCACCCTCGACGCCCCCGGATGGGCAACAGCTTATTCTCTTGGTTGCTCAGGCGGGTGCGCTCCAGACTCCTGTGGTAATTCATGTGGATCAGCTGCTCCTCCGGCCGGTATTACACCCACGCGGGAACAGGACCAAGAACCCATTGTTCCCGTCGTCCCAGCCAACCCTCCCCCACCTCCTCCGCCTAAGGAGATAAAGTGCAACGACGACAACAACTCAGAAGTCGACTTGGATGACACGAAGTACCAGATTCGTTGCGACAAGCAATACTACCACAACAGCCGGCTCACTGCGTCTGGTATCTCCTACACTGAATGCCTCAAGTTGTGCAGCGCAGATTCCACTTGCAACTCGGTGGATTATTGGGAGCCTAGTGGTAAACAGTCCTGCTATGTTTTCAGTGGCACTGGCGAACCAGGCTATTCAAATACGTTGAACTGGGCAGCCTTCAAGGTTTAATGCGTCAAGGAATCATCTAAGGTCATGGCTAGAGCTGTCACTCATTCATGACTCACCCAGTCATGCTCGGGTCACAAACCGGATATTGATTTCTTTGGGATCCCTTAGTACTTTTGACCATAATACACTCATTTTGCTGTCAAGTGTGATGATCTTCAGACTGCCAAATTTGTTGTGAGCAATTTAGAACTGGATCCCGTAAGACCCCTTTCTACCATAATAAAAGGTGGATCTGACCATCTTAAAAGCTGTAGCAGCTCAAATAATGAATCCCTATCCGGTAGGAAAGATCCGGCAAGTATGGCTGCTTATACCCGTAACGATGCTTATTTTGGTATATGGAGGGGGATCCTAATGTCTCTACTCTAGGTAGGTTGGATTCTATGTATTGGCTCTGTCTTTGTCGGATATTAGCGGTAAGAACAAAGAAGTAGTTATAGACATAGCCAAAACAACGCACTAACTCTGGTCTTATCTGAATATGTTTGCCATTTAGATCTCTGTATATTATAGCGATAATGGCCTGTAGAGGTCATTCAAATCGTGATCCATCAGGTTGGGGCCTGCACTTAGACCAACAACCCACCAATGATCGTAGTGATTACGCTGTAGGACTATCTGATGCCGCTGCTTAACTACTTACATGAAGCTGCCTAAACCCAGCTCAACACCTTCATTTCCCCTGAGGTTCTACCCTCCACTCCTGGCACCGGCATATCGTCTACAACGCCCGCAACCATCACTATGATGTATACCAGCATGTCTATATTCGGGAAAGTGCCTTTTTTTATAGATTTGTTTACTTGAATATAAGGTTTTCCACAGTCTGGGTGGTGCCTGCCTTCAAGATGTACTTGACTCATTGCGGCGGACGCTCTTTCCATCATCGCCGAAACAGCTTTCGGCCTGGCAACCATGGATGCACCCCTCATTTACCTCTATCAGGGAAAGTACACTTCAACTGTGATCTGTTTCTACGGAACTCGAGATCGGCTCTCTAGAAGGCTTAGTAGCTTTCGAATAACAGTCTATATATACGGCCCTTGAATCCATTTCTATTCTTCTGTTCTCTTACTTCTTCATCTATCTCCTCTGACTATTATATCATCCTGCCATCAGGTATAAATTCAATCTATATCAAGTATACCTGAGCTTGCCTTTACTATAGAGTATAGTGAATACTCGATTTACCTTGGGAAATTGATACACCATTAAAACCACCTCCAACGCCGTCGAGGCCTTTTTATAAAAGTTACCAAAGGCTATATATAACATCGCACGATGATATTCGTGCAAACCTACTACGAACAGGGTGAGGTCTCCAACTGGCTCGATGCTATTTCTGGGGATAACGGAAACATCGACCCAAGGTAAGCATTCATATTTATGTCTCTTCCAATATATACTAAAATGATTCACAGGACACTCGAAGTCCATCAAGTAATCACCATCGACCATAATACCCGCCACCATGACCAACCCTCTCCGTCCCAACAACAGCCATCTCCCCAGTCATCCCGTCGCTCCTTCGACCCACAAGCCCTAGGTCCATTAAAGCTGGAGCACGGACCTCCATTCCCGAGATTCCTTAGTATGGCATCTCTTCGTCGGCTGTATGATCGAATCGGCCAATCCGACAGAATGCCGACATTCACTGATTTCTGCAACGAAGAAGAAGACTCAGTCTCACTGGCCATGACTGCGACTGACTCGGAGTACGAAAACAGCTTTCTCGCATTCTGTGGAGCTTTACCACCACCGTCCGAGGAATCCTCTACAGTCATGTCTGCTTCCTCATCACTGTCGTCCTCTTCGGTAACCAACCACGAGTCCCAGTGGTTGCCTCTTGTGGTTGCGCGAGTCGTATCGAGCAAAGCCCGCAGAGCATGTCGGGCCATGAAGAAGAGGTTTTCTCGGTGATATCACCGCCATCACCGACATGGACTCCGTCGATCTGCGCCACGCCGCACAATGGAAGTGCGAGTTCCTCAGGCACTCTAACATCACTCACAACCAGTGCCACAATTTGCTCGCCGACCTCACTTACGTCTCGCCCAAAATTGTGAAGGTTTTTAGTACCCGGGCAGGTATATATCTGAGAACCTCAGTGTCTCAGGTTTCCCAAGTCTCGCTTTATTTAACAGCATATGACTTCCTTAATGCTAAAATGGCCGCACCCGGAGACGAGGAGGCTTAGTTATCTGCATAAAAGAGGCACTCGGTGGGATTAGGACTTCCGGAGAGAGGTACTTGATCAGCCTTGGATCATATACCCCATGCATATTGTCTGTCGTCGCGGTGCCGAATCAATCGTGCCACTGAGATGACTGGAGTACTCTTGCCAACTGAGAGATCCATCCCAAAGGGTTTTAGCCCGGTTGGTTTTAATGAGGCCCCAGCGTATATATATATCTCATTGTTTTGTTTCATGGGGTGTCGATATCTGACCCATGTTGATACCCTGCACCCTTTACTATTTGCCGAGAAATGAACAGATGCTTAAGTTTTCGATCTCAAATGTGAAAATGTAGAAATAACCATAGGTTTGTAGATGGAGTGTCGTTGGAGCGTGAGTGCCGATGATGGAAATGAGTAGATCGAAGGCGGTCGGGTCACCTGCCCCATGTTATCTCGGCAGACTTGCTTCTCCACGATAAAGCCACCGTGAACAACTGCGGCCAGGGCATCATCAACAACACCCATTCCCCTCGAACCAGTTCTTCCACAACAGCCAAAATGGATCCCTTTTCTGCAGAGGGCGGTAAGCCTGCCATCCGTTCCTACAGCTCCGATCAGCGCTAATACGGCTTCCCCGCAGAGCTCCTCAACATCCATAGTGCCTTCCACTCAGGCCAATACCAGAGTGTGATCGACTTCGAGACCGCTGCGCTCTCCCCGGAGAACCAACTCCCTGCTCAAGTCCTCAGACTCCGCGCCCAGATTGCCCTTGGTCAATTCGACGAAAGCCTCGCCGAGCCCTCCATCGAGGAGGACAGCCCCGACCTGTCGGCTGTCAGGGCTCTGGCCCTGCAGTCCGCCGGCAAGACAGATGCTGCCTTGCAGCTTGCACAAGAGCTCGCAGAGAACTATCCCGAAAACAACACCGTGCAGGTCCTTGCTGCTACTGTGCTCCAGGCCCAGGACCACAGCGAGGAGGCGCTGGCGCTACTGTCCAAGCACCAGGGCAACCTCGAGGCGTAGGTTATCCCGTCGCAAGCAGACTGCCAGACAGTGGAGCACATTGATCTGACAATCTGTCTGTATTTTAGCGTCTCCCTCATCGTCCAGATCCACCTTCAACAAAACCGGACCGATCTCGCCCTTAAGGAAGTTCAGGCTGCCAAGCGCTGGGGTCAGGATTCGCTGCTAGTCAACGTTGCCGAGTCGTGGGTTGGCTTGAGAGTTGTATGTTGATGAGAAACCTAAATCCCCTGGTCAATGGTGTACGGGTGCTGACTTCGTGTTTCTGATTTACAGGGCGGCGAGAAGTACCAGTCCGCTTTCTACGTCTACGAGGAGCTCGCCTCCGCACCCAGTACCTCCGCGCCGCTATCCATCGTAGGTCAAGCCATAGCTGAGATCCACCTGGGTCGTCTCCCCGAGGCTGAGGCCGCCCTCACTTCCGCCCTAGAGCAATACCCTACCGACGTGGACTTGATCGCCAATAGCATTGTTTTGAATGTGTTGGCCGGCAAGCAGACCGAGGACCTGGAGTCGTATGTCACCCCATCGCGGCTCGGTTCAAACGAGATAGCGAACTTATTGCTAACTTTTGTCCCCCGCCTAGACGGTTACAGCAGGTCCAGCCTTCCCACTCCCTTCTCACCGATATCCAGGAGAAGAGCGAGTTCTTCGATACTGCGGCGGCTAAGTTCTCTGCCAAGGTCTCCTCGTAGAATAATCTATCTGCTGTTCCGTATATTTGTTGTTTTATTTAATCCAAGTCAGGGAGCCTATCCTGCTTGTTTATGAAAAGACATGACCTCTCAATCTTGCAACTGGCACTTGTATTTCCCATCTGTAACTTGCACATGTGGTATGACGCATATGTAGGAACATCAAGACCTGTCTCTATCGAACCTGTCCCTCTGCTCCAATACCATGTGGCAGGAAATAAATCACAGCCGGGCAGCCAACCATTGCCGCAACTCCGAACCAGTCTGAGTCTCCTCCTTAACCATAGTATAAAACGGCGCATCATGCGACTCATCATACCCAACGACAAAAGTAATCTCTTCAAAAACCGACTTAATCTTCTTCACAAACTCCTGAATAGGCGAAAGCAAGATCTCATCCCCACCAGCAAGAACCAAAATCCTCTCCGTCTTAGCACCATCCCACCACTCAGCCGGCGCATTAAACGGCTCATTCCAATTATCCGCCGGTCTATCCGCGCGGTAAGAAGCAGACCACCTCGTCAAGGCCTCCGGCGTAACAATATCCTTCCACAGGTTATCTTTCATCGATGGCCACTCCGTACTAAAGTTAATCCAGGGCGCATACGTAAAGGCGCCCGCCAAGGGCGCCAGGAGCGCCAGCGGCTCGATCTCCGGGTGCGGGTGGGACAGGTGCAGCAATGTCGCTGCGGTAAGGTTCCCGCCCGCGGAGTCCCCGCCGATAATCACGTTGGCTGGTGAGCGGCCAGTCTCGTTGATGATGTAGCGCAGGGCTTCGACGGCTTGGCGGAGCTGGGTTGGGTATGTTGCGTGTGGGGTTAGCGTGTACCGCGGGAAGAAGACGGCTAGGTCGTGGCCGGTTTCGTTCAAGGCTTTTAGCATCTCCAGCCAGAATTCGAAGTAGGTCGGGATGGCAGGCATGGCGAAACCGCCGCCTGTTTTTTATTAGTATTTCGCTTGTTATTCATGGGTATATTTGATGTGATTAGGCTTTTTTGATCGGTTACACGAGATTGGGACGCACCGTGGTAGTATACGATCACATTCTTGGCGTCCTTGTTTCCGATCCAGTGGCCCTCGGTGTTGTGGGGGAGTGCGACGGTTTCGGGTTGGAGACCGCGCTTTTTCATGATACTTTCGTAGGCAGCTGAAGTCGACAGACTGAGATACCTGTGTGACAATATAAGGTCAATGTCTTGTCCATTTTTATTATTGCGTTATTGGGAGTTGTGTGCAGAATACTTGAAGAGAGAGAACAACATACTGTGTCTGCCTATCCGACCTCCGATCAACGATTTTCCGAATCACAGCTGACAGGACATGGTGATCGTAGCGCTTGGGGCTGGCTTTACCCCGAAAAACACCAGTAATGGCAGCATACACCATGCTGGCGTACATTGATAGGTGCAGGAATGGAATATCTGCTTTTTCCCAGAACCCGAGCTGGGGGACATCTTGGTTGGACGACATGGTTAGATTTGAGCGATTGAAGCTCCTGGAGTAGGGGACAGTGAGCTGAGTTGAGTGTCGGCTTTATAGCCTCTCTCCCCCCGCTCTTTCGATTCCCTCGGCTGTGGGGCATGCAGGACCCGAAGCCGCCAGGCACTGATTGGCTTTTCTGCGATCTGCAGGGTTCCATCCATCCATTCATGGAATGATATCTCCAAGCTACCGTTTTATGGCCAAGTTTGGCGTGTCGCCGGCATTCCTATAGGGATTTTGTCTGCAAGCTTTGATGAGTTATGGGATTGGGGATCCAACTTACTTTTGCACATAAAAAAGAAAGAGGGGAGGAGTTATAAGGATTTAGCAAACCTCAAGCACGGACCTCGGGAATCACACCAAGAAAGCAGAGGCACCAGATGCCGAAGATATCATGAGAAGATGTTTTAAGATGAACAAGACCGGGTTCGCAGCTATGCCAATGATTCTAGTATATTTGAGAAGAGGGTCTCCAGAAACGAGGACGTTACGGCTGTGCGGTAGGTTTGTTGGAAGTCATTCATGTTTATCGACAACAACAAGGGACTACTTCGTACCTTGAATCAGAAGCTGACAAACGCAGAACGGATAGAAGAAGGAGACTTTATTCTACGAGAAAGGCTATGAGACCACTTCTTGTCGGGGTTGACTGTTCATATAGCGAAGGGATGATCGGCCGAGAGAGTGTTTCAATACCGTTTTATTCTGGACTTGTCGTATCAAATAGTTTCAGGAAGCATTTTAGTATCGTATGTTGGATCAAGCTACTCTCGGCGGAAGGCACAAGAGGAAGGACGGATGAAAAGGACGGCATAGTCATGATAAGTTGATAAAAGAGACAAAGACATGGCCCGGATGGTCAGTTTGATGAGAGCAGATAGATGGTGGAAAGTTTTCTTGGGTGATGAGGAAGCGAAAAATATAATCAAAATCTTTTTCCTTCGCTGCTTAGAGAAGCGAAGGAAAGAATGAGCAGAGCGAGAATGATAGTTGTGTCTCTGTTTCATCACTCTTTCGCTGATCACTACATGTAGCAAAGCCAAAGTCAAAAAAGAAGTCTGCATTTATTCACTCACTGTCTCTATCCTGTCAAGTAGAAAACACGGAGACTGATCAGCTGGCGAGACTGATACCTGAGTTTCCAATCAGTTGAGGCATGATGTCCAATGGTAAGTGCGTGATATTAGCAACGAGGAGCTATAAGGCTATGGATAACTTTAGCAAGCAAATCGGACTTGAGAAGAAAAGAAACCTCATGGCTTGAAGGGCGCAGCTTCACCTTTCCGACCCTCCTGCTCTATGGGCCTACATCAGTGTGACACGTCGCCAAATGGCCTTAATATTATATTATAAGTGTTGCCTAGAAGGAAGCCTTGCAGGATCTGATGTCATTACTAAATGGAGCTGATATGGTGGATATGGGCGTCTTGTTAAAGCGAAAAAAAGTGAACGTCTCGAATCCGATGGATTCTTATAGGTTCTTAAGCAACGACAATGAACAGCCCTGGGCCAATGGCTAACATAACATTGTGATTAATTAAAGTCTCGTTTAGCTAGCAAATTACGACTTCCAATAGAGTTAAGTCTTTCAATATAGAAGGGGAAGGTTCCAGTCACGGCTTCCACCATCCGCTGCCATGCTTGGTTAATTCCAGTGCACGTCACCACACGATCAATATATTGTCTCAGATAATTGGGAAGCCTTCTAGCAGCCATATCCTGCTCGTTAATTTAGCTCCATGTAGTTTAATGTGGTTGCTGTAGTGAGGCTGCGGGTGCCAAACTTCTGTTCTGGTTGGATAGGAGCTATGCCACATGATAGAACTATGGGTAGCTGAGACTCAAGCCATCTTACTGCATATCGAAACTTTACATTCATTGCCCAAAGTAGACCTGTGTTTGGAACATGGTACGTCTCAGAGGCCATAACCCTAGTAAATAATAGTGCTCATAAGTACCCTCAATAGGGTGTCATTCAATTTAACGGTACTTACTAGGCTGAGCTGTTCATTGGTAATTACATGTCTCCCTTTTGGCTGGCCATCAAGTCCAACGATGCTCCGGTTGGTTCATCATTTGATACGTATCAAATATAATATCCACTATAGGAGGGCTGAGCCTCGTTTCTTGTTGCCTTACTCTAGGGCAAGGCATCGCAGTTAGAAATTGCATATAAGGGTTCAAGTCCCGGGTCTTTTCTAGTTCGCAATACCTTCTATTCTCACAATTATCACTGCCAGCCGAGAAACTTCAACAGCCTATTCTTTTCAAATCTACATCACTACACCCAACGAACCAACATGGCGTCCTTCACAGCCAACATGGTATCCTTCGTGGAGACAATGGACGAACGTCTGAAGAACGATCCTTTCGTCTACGAACCTTTGAAGGTCTTGGGTGTTCTCTCTGACTTCACACAGGAAGAGATATTTTCTCTTTTACGCTATGAAAAGAGCCAGAGGCCCCATACCGAATGGGTTTCTTACTTCCTCGCAGAGGATGAGGATATTGAGTCAGATAAGGTTGAAGAAATGGTTGGAAAGCTTTGTGAAACCCATCTTGTGTGGCGTAATCAGCCGCACAGTCACCGGCCTAATCGTGACTGTTGGTTTTTCGTCAGTACAGACGTCACTACCTGGGTTTGGAAATACCTTCCGATTTCGGACCGAGTAGACATAGCCAAGCAAGCTATCGAAACGATTGCGGGCATACAAGGGCGCTGCAGTGAACTATATGTTTCTGCTCGCATGCAAATTACATGGGCTTATGCATGTCAGGTTCCCATCAGCCATGCCAGCATCAGTTTCTCTGTTCTCCTTGATTGGCTCGAAGCTTTCGACCTCGTCAAGGAGTTCGGTCTTCTCGGCGGCGTCTCGGGCTTCATTATTGATAAATACGAGGCGTGGAATCCTGGAGAAGAGGATGAACGGGAGGACTTCACTATGGCTAAAAGTTTCGCCTGGGTGTTTGAAATGCGTGACGAAGCCGAAATTATGTCTGGTCGAGCGCAGACGGAAGCGAACAATGTCGATGAGTATCACTGCTACATGGAACAGTTTTACAGTCTGGAAGTCCGTGATTTGTTTTGACGAGCGACGAACCTATGGATGGGATTAACACCCATTGCCTCCTAAAGAGCGCATTCAGACATGCACGAAGATGATCCGGAATGAAACTCGCCGGGGATCATCTTTGAATTCTCTGGGTGCTGCGTGTGGCAAGCTCGTTTCCAGGCTTTGGGAACATTGAAGGGCCCAGTTTGCATTCAAATTTTGTCGTGGCTTTAGAGGTCACTGGCAAGGTGTCCGCGGTTAACAGTAGCCTGCCATTTCTGTGGAAGACTTGGAAAGGAGGAGGGATTTGTGGTGCAACAGTCATTAGAAGGGTGAACTAGGTCATACAGTGAGTTGGTGACTGTTGACAGGGGATCATAACACGTTCTTTGATCGATTCGCTACGCTCTATGGTTTTCTTTTGTGTTTTCTTTTTGGAACTTGGAGATTGATGCCGACCCTATACACTCTTTTTACAGCTTATAGTCTATAATCCAGTCATTTTGGATTGAAATGTTTCCAATTTGTAACATAAATCTACAGGTAATTGGGCCATTAGCTAGGGAACTCGGAGACACCCAATGTCTACATGTAAAGCATGCCGCATAATTAACCGAGGGGGTGGCTGAGACTGCTTCTCACGGATATACTATCTTTTGTTCTACGAAGGTCCGTGTACATAGAACACAGTGCACTTTTGCCGTCTCAGAGGCCATGGCTCGACAGAATAATAAGGCCTATAAGAACTCTCCATTGGATGTCGAAGGCCGAACCTTTCGACTTTCAGCATTTATACTCGCGCTAGGGGATCTATATTATTCTAATAAGGGTACTCGCTAGGCTAGGAACCTGATTCGTAGCCCTGGAGTTGGTCTCATCTCCCAACCTCATAGTGTTCAGCTATTTAGTCCAACAGTAGTCTTGGATCACAATTTGAGACATGTCAAGTAATTTTTTCCTATCATATGTTCCCTAGGGGGACCCAGCCTGCTCCCAGGAGAGCTCTGCTGTGACAATTGGTACATAAGGGGACAGGATTCCGGGTTCTTCTGGTTCTTAGCGTCTTCTTCTATTACAAGAGTATCACTCCCCTAACTGAGACGCTTAAAGAACCCACTTTTCTTTTCCTTCAAAACTGTTCATCATCTTCATCTTCCATTCTCACCAACGTAGCGAAATGGAGGTCGTCGGAATCCCATCTGTGGACAAACCCTTGGGAGATGTTCTGGAAGAGCTCAAAGTGTCCTCTCCTGATGTTTCCATGCTCTTAGCATTTTTCTCTCTTTTTACCACATCGAGCCTCTATGTGACGCTTCTGACTGCTGCTATTGAACGCAAACAAATGCTCTCGGGATATCAATTTCCATGGGACCGTTGCTGTGTTTTAAAAAAGCGGGAAACTTGACGTTCTCCGGTGGAGCAAGATATCTAAAGAGTTGAAACGACGTGGGCTTATCGAGTGTCTGGGCGTATCTGACGTGGAAATCGAATGGTTTTCGATTATACTAGAAGTCTGCGAATTGATTCAAAAGCTACTCGAGAAGCCCCCCCGAGAAAGGCTGGTCATGTTAGCTGTGGATTGGTTACAGTTTCTTATATCGCGTCGTTCGTTATATTTTATCCCTGCGAGACCCTTGTACGATGATAATTCTTCCTCATATGGAATGTCCGTGGAAGATTGCGCGTGAGGTTGATTGTATGACCGATGAGTCTCTCAGCTTCACGCCGGCGGCGCTTCAGATATTTCTATCGCATTTCTGCCTCCCTTCCGATGACCGCATGGACTTTGCCTGGGATGTCTACGATTACTTTTCCCGGAGTTGGATCGCACTCAGAGAGAAAGAGATTTTCAGAATGTTTTCGGCAAATGGAACACCGGTTACTGTGCACCACCAAGCAGAAGTTTCCCAAGATGAGAATACGGATTCCATCCCA